CTCTTTCTTAAAAAGCTGTTTGTCATGTAGCTCAGGCTGTAAACTAATTATCAAGAATGATTTCTTTTTTGTATGTATGGAGAGCTCCTCTTGTGAAACCTCTGCTGTGCTGCTGTGATACAGACTTTTGACTTCTGAAATCAGCATAATGAGGTTGAAGACCTCAGTTTGAGCTCTGGAGTATATTCTCTGGTTGTCTTTTATGTGAGTGCATTAGTATGGTAGTTCTATGACACCATCTAAATTAATAATGATCTATCAGCTCACATCTCTTTCAGTATGTTGCAGCTAATTTCTGCAAAGTGAGATATGGATCTCCTGCTTGCACTCTTTGTGCAAGATTTCCAGGGCTGTCATAACTCAGAGGGTTAGAGACCACTGCATAAAACTGCTTACTCACAAAACAAACATATCATCTGATTGTAATTTAGGTGTTGATATCACACACCAAGCTTTTTCAGTCTATGGTGAACAATTTGCTTCCTAAGCTTTATGTTAAAATCTATCTTGCAGGATAAGGTTCTTTCTGTCAGAAGGTTTTATTTCTTAGGTTAGGTAGTTGTCTAGCAGTCTACCATTTAACCAATAGTTAAATAGTTTCTCTGGCATTCAGTAAAGACTAAATTTATTTTTTTTCCCTATATATAATAGGAAGGGCTTTGAGTTTTTCGATCACAAGCTGCTATACAAGACACCTGGCCTGCTGGTGGCAGGTGGGATGTACCTGTCCCACAGGGGCAAAAGGGTTTTGGGGCAGGAGTTAGCAGGGCTCATTGACAGGGCTTTAAACTGCATATGAACGGGTGAAGGGAAATAACTGGGCCTGTTAGGGACAAGCCCAAGAGAAATATGCCAGGGCTTGAAGGATGGTAGACTAGGGAGGATTCTTACTCTGTTGTTTCATTTGAGAGAAAGGATAAATGTTTAGAAATCATGGAAATACCTGAAAGGGTCTGATAGGAAATGGGGCCCACAGTGGAAAAATGGTGCTGGAATCATTAGCTCATCTGAAGTGCATCTATACCAATGCACACAGTATGAGCAATAAACGGGGAGCTTGAAGCCGGGAAAACTGACATAGTGGTTATCACAGAAACGTGGTGGGATGCATCACATTACTGGAGTGCCACAATCAATGGTTACAATCTCTTCAGGAGGGATAGAAAGGGATGGAGAGGAGGTGGATTGGCCCCGTATGCTGGAGAATGCTATGAGGGCTTGAAAATCAAGTGTAGTCATGATGAGGTTGAGAGTGTATGGATTAGGTTAAGGGCTAATAGAGCTGATATCGCTGTGGGAGTCTGCTATAGACCTCCCAACCTAAGCAGTGAGGTGGATGAAGCTTTCTATAAGCAGTTGGGAGAAATCTCCCATTCACTAGCTGTTGTTCTTGTGGGGGACTTTAACCTCCCAGACATCTGCTGGGAATACAACACAGCAGAGAGGGCACATTCCAAGAGGTGCCTGGAATGTGTGGAAGATAAATTCCTCACACAGCTGATAGGTGAGCTGACCAGGGAGGATGCCCTCCTGAACTTGCTTCTGGTGAACAGGGAAGATCTTGTGTAGGAAGTAAAAGTTGGAGGCCATCTAGGGCACAGTGATCATGAGATGTTTCAGTTTTGGATCCTTGGAGAAACAAGGAGAGGGGTTAGTAAAACTGCCACCTTAGACTTCCAGAGGGCAAACTTGACCTGCTCAGAAGACTGATTGACAAAGTCCCTTGGGACGCTGCCTGGAAGGATAAAAGAGTCCAGGAAGGCTGGACATGCTTCAAGAAAGAAGTTTTAAAGGCACAGGAGCAGGCTGTCCCCATGTGCTGAAAAAACAGTAAGTGTGGTAGGAGACCAGCCTGGCTAAATAGGGACCTTAGGAACAAAAAGAGAGTCTGTGACCTTTGGAAGAGGGGACAGGTCACTCATGAAGTCTATAAAGATGAAGCGAACCTATACAGGGTGAAAATTAGAAGAGCCAAAGCACAGCTAGAGCTCAAACTAGCTACAGCTGTTAGGGATAATAAAAAATGTTTCTATAAGTTCATTAACAGCAAAAGGAGGATTAGGGAAAATCTCCATCCTTTATTGGATGCAAAGGGAATCCTAGTAACAAAGGATGAGGAAAAGGTTGAGGTGCTCAACACCTACTTTGCCTCAGTCTTTAGCAGTGGAACTGGCTGTTCCATGGATATACAGCCACATGAGCTAGAAGACAGGGAGGAGATGCAGAATGAGGTCATATCAATTAAAGAGGAAGTGGTCAGAGACCTACTACACCACTTAGGTGCACACAAGTCTATGGGACCAGATGAGCTACATGCAAGGGTGCTGAAAGAGTTGGCAGACGTGATCACCAAGACACTTTCCATCATTTACCTGAAGTCCTGGCTAACTGGGGAGGTCCCAATGGACTGGAGGGCAGCAAATGTAACACCCATCTATAAGAAAGGCAGAAAGGAGGATCCAGGAAATTATAGATCTGTCAGTCTTACCTCGGAACCAGGGAAGGTCATGGAGCAGATCATCTTGAGTGTTATTAGAAGATATATAGAGGATGACCAGGGGATCAGGCTCAGTCAGCATGGATTTATGAAAGACAGGTCCTGCCTGATGAAGCTGATCTCCTTTTATAACCTAATGACCTGACTATTGGGCCAGGGAAAGGCTGTGGATATTGTCTACCTGGACCTCCAAAAAGCATTTGACACGGTTCCCCGTAGAACTCTCATAAAAAAGCTGGCTGCTCATGAAGAAAGCTTGAAGGAGCTTGGAATGTTTAGCTTGAGAAAGAGGAGGCTGAGAAGAGACTTCATCAGTCTCTACAACTACCTGAAAGGTCACTGTAGAGAGGTTGGTGCTGGTCTCTTCTCACAGGTAGTCAGTGACAGAACAAGAGGGAATGGCTTCAAGCTGCAACAGGGGAGGTTCAGATGGGACATTAGGAAAACATTTTCATAGAAAGAGTGGTTAGGCACTAGAATAGGCTGCCCAGGCAGGTGGAGGAGTCACCATCTCTGGGTGTGTTTAAGGGTCATTTGCATGTGGTGTTGGTGGATATGGTTTAGGGGAGAATTTTGTAGAGTAGGGATGATGGTTGGACTTGGTGATCCCAAGGGTCTTTTCCAACCTGAATAGCTCTGTGATTCTATAATAATCACCTTCTTTATAAATGTTTTTTCAGATCAGAGGAAAGGTGCTGTAAGTATTCGTAGAATACTTAGAGCATAGGAACTCAGTCTGTGATTTTCTTCTCCATTTTTCAACTTTGTGTCCTTAATTTTAACAAGTCTATCCATGTCGGTTACTGTAATAACCTGTACTACTGGGACTGAGTTTGTTTCTGTAAGTTGAACTTCTCCATCTGAGATTCTGGTCACACCAGTGATCACAGCAAATGTCCTGTGCTGACTTTGTATACAGTCACAGTAATAGCACTAAGGGGTTCTTCTATTCTTTGGAAGCCTGCAGCTTTCCCTGTTACTGACTTCCATACTCAATACCTAGACCCCCCTGGCAAATGACCTATTTCTACCTTTACCTGCCTGTGCAAGTCTCATTCTGTGAGCAAGTTTACTTCCCAGTACACCACATGACTAAATCTCTATCCCTTACCGTGTAAATTACTGTCATCTAAGAGTCTTGCTTGTACAAGGAAGCTAGTTACCTGTCTGATGAGTAATAAACATTGAACTAGATTCCACTGAGTCCATTGAGATATTCCAGTTCTAATGAGGTGGTCTGAACATGCCCTGCAGAGGATTTATATAGAAAGCACTTCTTAGAGAGCACTTTTTTTAAAATTAATTTTGTCTACAAAGTATTGCACTGTCTTGACCCTCTTGGATTTATTTTATTTTACTGCCTAGCTTATCAGTGATAAGTAATATCTGTTCAAAAAGAAAATGGTGTTGTAAATGTATTTAGTGTAATTGCTTGACCTTTGTTGAATAAAGATAAATGCCTAGCATTGTAATTCAGATATATTACCTTCAGACAGTGGAAATTCACTGCTGTACTTTATTTACAGATACTTGAAAGAGGTGTGTTGCTTCTTTGTTAGTTGGGTTGTTGTTTGGGTGTTGTTTTTTTTTTGTCAGATGCACAACACAATTGCAATTTTCTCCTTGTTTTTCTCCTTTTTAGCCCTGTGACTGCAGCCTCATTGGAGCCCTGAGTTCTCAGTGTGACTTAAATACAGGCTGTTGCTTCTGCCGTCCTGAATTCTCTGGGGATAAATGCACTGAGTGCAGGTTGGGTTACTGGAATTATCCACAATGTGTTGCTTGCCAGTGCTTCCTGGCAGGGACTGATCCACAGAGCTGTGATGCAGAGTTGGGGAAGTGCTCATGCACTGATCAAACTGGCCAATGCAGCTGCAAGGTAGGATGGTGCATGTTGTAAGCTGCTCTTACAGCTGCTGAGACCTGTGTGCCAAAATTCATTGGCATTTATACTTGCCTGTTCCAACAATGTATGCAAAGAAATCTAGTTTGTTTTCATAGTGTATTTCCTAACTGCTGTGGAAGGAGTCAAACATAAAGAACGGCTTAAATGCTTATCATTTGGTTTTTTTACACACTAGCACTTGCAAGGATGACATCCTCTTAGACTTTCTTCTCACTTTGTATTTCTTCCTGTTCTTATACAACTGCTGCCAGTTTAACTCCATTCAATACAATTCTTGTTCAGATATTCAGCAAATTAAAAGCAAACACATCAGTAATAACAGTATGCCACAGTGCTGGTTCTTTGTAGTACATTGACTAGTGGGAAGTCAATATTGATCATTTAATGAGTGGATTTCACTGCAGAAGTAGCTGTTCTTTTGAGAAGACTGCATCCAATTCAGGAATACTAATGCAAAGACTTTTGACATTGTCACCACAGTATTTGGATTTGGAGTTGTTCTTGAAAGAACAGCACACTTGATGATTTGCAAGTTGGCTGGATTGCTGGGCTTGAAGGGCAATAGTTAGTGGTTTGACATGCAGTTGGTAGCCAGGAGAGTACACCGGAGTTAATACCTTCACTGGTGGCACAGATGACAGACTCACTATCAACAGATTTGAGAACATTGCTTATTTAGAGGAGGTAGGGGTTGACATGCTGAAGAGTATAACTACAGTATACAGGGTCCTTGAAAAGCTCGATGATTGGTAATATAGAAAGGTCATGAACTGGAGTGGAATAAAGTCAAGAATCAGTACAGTTTGGGAGGAAAAAGGCTGAGTAGTAATCCTGCTGCAAAGCATACACGGGCTTTGAGAAATGACAAACTGAATATAAGCCAAGCATGTAGTCTCATTGTAAATCAGACAAACTGCCAACTGAGCTGGATGCACTGATCATACAGGCCAGTGCAGCTGCAAGGTAGGACATCATGTAAAGCATGACCAGCAGAGGAGAGTCTTTATCCCCCTCTACCCAGTGCTGGTAAGACTGCACTTGGAAATGGTGTCCAGTTTCAGGGCCCGATTCATGACAGTAATTTAGAAACTGGAGAGAACCCAGAGAAGGACTACAAACAGACATTGAGAAGATAATCTCTAAGGATATACTGAGAGAGCTGGACTATCAGTCTGCAAAAAGAGACTAAGAGAAAATGTAATTGCAGCCTACAGCCACTTCAGAGCAGTTGATGGAGTTAAGTCCTTTCTGATAGAAGCAAAAGGTGTGAAGAAGGACAGCAGCTGCAAATGGCAGCTTGGGAATTTGGGGTTGGGCATTAGAAATCACTAGAAGGGTTATGCAGCACTGAAACAGATTATTCAGAAATGTGAAATCCCCATTTTTAGTGGTTTTCAGGAATCAGCTAGAAAGAGATGTGAGTAACCTGATCTAGTACTGGTGATAGTCCTGCTTCAAGGAGGAGGATTCAAAAGTCACATATAAAGGTTTCTTCCATGATTTTGATTCATTCTTTTTCAGGGACTGTTTTGACACTAAGAGCTAGCAAAATGGAACAATGAACTTGAATTATTGAATTGCCTGGTAATTCTTTTGTTAATTGAGCTCCAGTCACTTCATTCTGAGTTTAAATTATACATTAAATGGAGTAACTGTAGAACAAACTAGATTAGACCTATAGAGTAATCTAGTTCAGTGCCTTGTTTAAAAGACATTGCTGGGCAGTATTTCCAAGGAAGGAGATTTCACAACTTCTTTGTGCAAACTGTTTGTCAGCCTTCCCATTTTTTTAGTGTATTTAAACAGAAAACATCATGTTCTATTTCTCAAATACTGATTCATCTGATAGTGAGAACATGAGAAAACGGAAGTGAATGTATTGATCACATGGACCATATGAGGAAAATTCGACCATATGAGTAAAACCCAGCTTAACAATCAGTGTTATTTATCCTGTGTCATTCTCTGAAGTGGAAAAATAGAAGTATCTCAATTCTTTCAGCCTCTCCTGATATTTGATATGCTTCAGCCCCTCTAACCATCTGGGTGCCCCTTTTCTGGAATAGATTCAGTACATGAATGTCTTTCTTGTAGTCCTTGCAAACACTAAGTAGAACAAATGGGTATTAATGGCATTTTTAAATATATATGTTTCTTAGTTGATTCTTTGAAGTAAAATATAATTACTTCTGTGTTTCTCTAAGCGCAAATTAATGGTATGTTTAGCTGATGAGTAATGATAAGAACCTGCAATTGCTATGAAACAAAATGCAAAGTAAGTAAAAAAAAATATTTATGACATAAAATGGGCAAATAATATTGAATAAAGTAATCAGCTTTTTTTTTCCTCCATAATTTAAATCTGTGGTTGAAGCAGGGTGGGGGAAGCCAACCGGTGATTTCACATTGGTGGCTTTTTAAAAATGCCTTGGTATAGCTTTTTATTGGACTAATTGAAAAATGGAAATAAAAGTATTGACATTGCAACAGTGAAACCTTTCAGCCTTGTTCATAGTGTTCAATGATGTGGAAAACAATCATGAAGAGGGGAAATCTTTTCTATACAATATTTTCATTAAAATAGGTTTCTCACAAGAACATTTACTACTATGCCTTAAACATTCTAACTTATCAAAGTTAATACCTGTGAAACAAAAGGCTTGATTAACTCCGGCAATTTCAGAAAGACATATTTTTCTTATCATTCAGTTATTGAGCATGTCATGCCTAAAGTGCCATTTGATTTTTCTGTGCTTACAACTGTCAGTATGAAGCCAACATCCATTGCTCAGAGCTACTCAGTGGATACAATGCCTCAGTTACATTAATTGTATATGTTTGCATACATATATGATAAAAAGTTGGAAAGTTCCTTGTGCTTATTATTATTTATTTCTGTACCCTGTTATTATCATTACCGTATTATTTTATTTTGCTTATTACTACCTCAAAATAAAGCCTGCTTTTTATTTTTTGTAAAATATTCCCTCTTTTCCAGGTTAATGTGGAAGGTATCCACTGTGACAGGTGCAAGTCTGGTGCATTTGGTCTCTCTGCCAGAAACCCACTTGGCTGCAGCAGTTGCTATTGCTTTGGCCTGACTACACAGTGCAGTGAGGCAAGGGGGCTGGTTCGCACGTGGGTGAGTAGGAAACTGCTGAGCCATGTAATGTGATCATGTTGTTTCCTGCTGGCATCTTTTAGTCAGGCACAGAGAGGTAGTTAGAAAATGGCCAAACATTTAAGCAATCATTTTCTTCGCTATACTTCGAAAAGTGGAGAGAGCAGTATGTTCCATTAGACAAGCAGGGTCAAGGCATTAAAAGTAAATAAATACATAAGAAAACCAGTCATAGGATAGCTGACATCAAGCCAGAGTAAAGTTCTGAAAACCCAGGGAAGGGCCAGCTAGATGTGTGGGGAAATTATGCAGTCCAATGCATTCATGGTAAGATAATCTCTGGTACATGGTACACAGTTTACCCAGGTGTATTCAAGGGACACCGATGCTTGTTGTCCAGCATAGATTTCCCATGGTTCAAATAATCTCTTTATTTAAATTGTTTGTTGGTGGATCTATTTATTTATTTATTTATTTATTTTAAAAGGCTTATCAAAGCTCTATTTAAATCCAAGACTTGAAGAGTATAATCCGTCAGAGCAAACAAAGAGCTCTCCACCTTTTTGTGGAAGAAGGCCTGGAGACCTTTGCTGGACTGACAAATAAGGAAGACTGAATGTCTCCATTTCTCTGTAGAAGCGCAGCATACACATTGAGACCACTGCTATGTGTTGCTGCTGTGCCAGCTCCTCAGTTACATTCTGAAGGAGCTATTTCTAGCAGAAAATTATTAGTTGAGTCCCCATGTGTGTTCAATCATGTCTCTGCTAGAAAGCATGCCAACTATAGAGGGAATATTTGCCTAATGCAGGTCAGCCAAAGCCCTTGACTTGTCACACACAAGCATCAATTGGATGAGGATACTTAAGGCTGAAATCAAGGTATGATCTGTTACTAGCTCTCATTTAAAGTAATAGGAAAAGCACCCATTTTTTTCTTTCATTGTTAAAAAATCTTTCCCTTACCAGTGGACGAAGTGATTTAACGTGATCTGACCCAGTTTTTTTCATTATTTCAGTTTTGTCTATCATATGCAGGTAGGCTGGAGATGAAAGGATGTAAAAGGCTGACAAGTTAAAAAATTTAATCAAGTTCCATGGCAGCAACAGTTCTGGAAAACTGTGCTTTGACCTTTGTGGCAGCACAAAGCAGAAACAGTTTAAATCTCCTGATTACTTGATTAATTTCCTTTTGCATTTATGGTCATATCTAAGATGTGTATGTCCACATCTTATGTAGTTTTTGTTAATCTGATCTATTTCAGAATTGTAAACTGAGTGAGATTGGGTTCTGCCAGGGCCTAGTGACTATTTCAGATATTCTCAGGTGCTTCAAGTGGCAGTAGACATGTTTAAACAAGCAAGTCCTGTCTTTTAAGACAATAAGACAAGGCTGATCTGAAATTCAAATGTGTTGACTGCTTTCTTGATGTCTAAAGTAAACAGTAAAATACGGTTATGATAGGAACTCAGGAAATCTCACTTATGCCTGGCAATGTTAGGAATGCTTCCATGTCAGTCCATAGAGATTGATGGAACTGGAAATACCAAGATGCTTGAAGGACACTACAGGGCTTGGTTGATTTATAGAATCATAGAATCATTAAGGTTGGAAGGGACCTCAAGTATCATCAAGTTCCAAAACCCGTGCCATGAGCAAGGAGCCCTATCACTAGACCAGATTGCACAAAACCTCATCCAACGTGGCCTTAAAAACCTCCAGGGATGGGATATCAACAACCTCCCTGGGTAACCCATTCCTCATTAGCTGATCCCTATCTCATGAACAATGTGTTAAGGGGATGACTGTTAGAAATATAACTTTCTGCATTTGTTTTCTTTATTTTCCTCACTCTTTGAGAGAACCAACTTTGATATCAGCCCTTTGCATTTGGTTGTAGACTTCCTGCTACTCTCATCTGCACAGAATTGCTAAAACTTTTATTACAGTTTTTGGTCAAAATAATGATCTTTATGTAATGCTATTGAGACACAGATATTTCTACGTTATTAGTAATATGGCATCGGTTCATTGATGAAAAGCTTAGTGCACTAAGTGGCATCCTTGCATTTTTCATTCAATCTGAATTTAGAGTTACAGAAACCCTGAGCCCTCTCTGCATATTGCCCAGGGATCACTTAGCTTTACTGTTGCATAAAAGTACTGAGGGATCAGGCACTGTGTTCCACAGCCCCAGGGATGAATAACACTTGTTGGTGAGACGCATCCTTCTTAAGGTACATTTCTCACAACCCAAACAGAAAATGCCTGGGAATGAAATAACGCTATGAAAATTACTTCAATAAAATTCTTGGGATCACTTCCTGATGAAACTATTTTAACTGATGCTTGCGCATTCTTTGTTAACATTTGTATTTTTTGTATTTGTATCTTTGTATTCTTTGAGGACAAGGTGCAAAGTCCCTGTACTCAAGGAGGAAAGTAATTATTATCACTGTTTATACCTGAAGGAGTAGTAAGACTGTTCTGTGACAAATTGTTCATAATGTGAAATGAAATTGCATAGAAATAATTGTTTAAAGAGATAAAATATAAAGACTAACACTTCATGGGGAAAAAATAGAGTTTGTTTTTTTCTTGCTCTTTTTTTTTTCCTAATATGTATAGGTGACCTTGAAGCCAGAGCAAATGATTTTACCACTGGTGGATGAAAAGCTTCAGCGCAGCACTCTTTCAGGGATTGCATTCCAACCTCCTGAAATAGTAGCAAATATTGAGCAGGTGATGCAGGATCTTCGGTCAGAACCTGTTTACTGGAGACTTCCAGAGCAGTTTGAGGGACGAAAGGTAAACATAAAATTCCACTGAATACTGACATGAATTTATATATATATATTTTTAATCTTATATATGTATTTTGTAATGCCTATTTTCCCTTCCAATAAAAATGTCATCAGACAGTGGAAAATACTTCAAATGAAAGTAAATGTCATTCCATTATTAAAAATTAATTTCTCCATTATCATAGAAATCCATAAGTCTGTAAGATAAACACTATTTTAAAACAGGTATTTACAGACAGTAACATGTAATATTTTCTACTAGATAGATACTCTCATGAACATGTTACATAAAAAATTGAGCCGCTTAAATCTAATATAACTCTCTCATAACTTTTTGTTTCTCTCCATTAAAAAAAAAAGTCTGGTATTTGTTGCAAGTTGCACAAGAGAAAATTATTTAAATAACCCTCATTTTGGGTATTGCTATGCACCTCTCTGACAATTTATTTTGCACTTCTGATATTTTTGTTTGGTGTGAGAAAGTTTCAATGTTCCTTTCTCTAAACAGAAACTTTGGGGAGCACCAAGGCACACATAAAGGGATAGATAATACTTTGGTTTCAGTGTAGTACAATAACAAATTGCTGATGGGTATTTTTAAGCACAGCTCTTGTCCCCCGATAGTTCCACAAGCATATATTGCTGTTTTCTACCACACGCACGTTCATCAGACTGTTCACAGGTGCAGAGTCTATCTAGCTGCTACACGCATCCAGAATTTATTTTTAGCAAACTAAAAATGAGTTTTCTCTCTGTACTTTGCATCTTGCTTTGTTAGCTGACTGCTTATGGAGGGAAACTGAAATATGCAATCTACTTTGAAGCACGAGAAGAGACAGGTTTTACTACTTACTACCCGCAAGTCATCATAAGAGGTGGGCCTCCCACTCATCCAAGAATTCTTGTCCGGCATATGGCTGCCCCTCTGATTGGGCAACTGACAAGGCATGAAATAGAGATGACAGAGGTAAGGCTTCCATCTGCTTTTTTTTTCCCCCCAGAATTTAAACACCTGGTTCTTTTTAATGCTGTTAATACTCTGGTTTTGTATTCCTGTCTTTCAGCATGAATGGGAATATTATGCTGATGACCAAAGAATCAGAAACACTGTGCCATGGGAATATTATCATGATGACCCAGGTGTCAACAGGACAGCGTCCCAGGCAGATTTCACGTGGAAGCATTATGGAGATGAGCCAAGACCAAGTAGAGCTGTATCCCGAGAAGAATTCCTGAATGTGTTGTATGATGTTCATTACATTCTTATTAAGGCTACTCATGGCAATATCATGAGGCAGAGCAGGTAACTATTTAATGCAGTGGTCTGAAATACTGCAGTAGCCACAGATAACCTGATAAAACTTCCCAGCAGAATTTTTTATTCATAACATAATCTATAAGCAGTTCCTGAGAAGCACAGAAGGAGTTAGTTTTCAGCATAGCAGAGGATGCAGGAGAAGGAAATTTTATTCAATAGAAAATTTAAATCACAATAGGAAAATTAAATCCTTTTTCTCAGTAACCTAGAAAAGAAAACACATATAAGGAAATGCATCCTGAAAGAAAATGAAAGTATTTTTTAATAAATGTCTGCTTTATGTGAACATGTCCTGTAGTTAAAATAAATATTAACATATGAAGGAATTTTCTCCTACAAGTGGGAAAGAAGGGAAAACGTCAGAGACAAATGAATGCTCCTTTTATGAAATGCTACTTAATCCGCTATATTAGGGACAGATATTTTCAACATTTTCTATTCAATTTATTCATTAATAAGCTAGACAGGTAAATAAAGATAACACTAACTTTGCAGTGGACATAAACAGCAAGATGAGAGGAATAATAGAAAAATATGCTGCAATATAAAGATCAGTTTTGTGATTTTACACTTTGAAAGGACTGAGCAAACAAGAAACAACTGTTTAGTTACCTGTTCTTCGAGGAGGGCTCTGCTATTTACAACGTATCACCAGGTGAACATGGTTAGTAATGCAAATATTCTAGCTACATGTGTAGCCAGATACAGGCTGAAAAGTGCAAAAAATTAATCTTTTATTTCCACCCAACACTAGTAAAGCCTAACCATCTGTTTTTTGGATACTGGAATTAAAGAAAAAAATTATTTAAATGTTCAGAGGTTAAAGTGATCATCACAAGTCAGGAAATATGACCTGGAAGAGAAGATGTAAAGAACCAGATTCATTTAGAAGTTAGAAACTGCCTTAAAATACATAAAATGTTATCACAAAGAGAAAGAAAAGAATCAGTTCTCTGTTGCCATGGTGGGTAAGTAAAAAATTAAATGAGTTTAACTTCACCAGGAAAGGTTTGCATTAGGCGTGAGAAAAAAATTCCTGGGGTAAAAAAATCCTGATTACAAATTGATTACAAAAACTGTTCCTGAAAGTTTTTTTAATGAATTCACAGTATTCATTATATTGTATTCACAGCAAGCAAATTTTATTGGCAAGGACACAGGAATAATTGTAGATAAACTCCAAAGGTCTCCAGAGGTCCATTCTATGATTCTGTCATTAAAGTGAGAAACTAAAATTATTTCTAGGTTTCTGGATCACAAATAGTTCTGTTAAGAACGTGACCTTTGGAATTCATGAGGGTGAATAGTAGGGGCAGATACAATGCAACACTGTGTGACAGAAAACACGTCATTGCTGCTGCTATTTTACAGAAAGCATTTCATCCAATCTCTGGCAAGACGCTAAATATTAACGACAGATGCCACAAATTATATATATTGGCTTAATTTAATTTTGGCTTAGTCAGTTTAGGATGTTGTATTACAATCACACAGAATTCCCATGTAAAGAGATAGAGAAGAAACTCCAGTGCTACATGGAAAATTTGAGAAGCACATCCATGTTTTGAGTTTGTTTCTTCTTTCCCTTCCCTTTATGCACTAGAGATCCTAGTTCAACTGTGGAAGCAAAAACTGAATACTATCTCAGCTGAGGCAGCATAAGTTAAAAATGAACCCCCATTTTAATGCTTTTGTTCTGAGATAGATACATATGACTGTGGTGACTGAACTAGACCTGCACCGTAATATATCACCATTTTATCAAGGCTGCCTAATAATGGGTCATAGAACAGAAGAGAGGAAGACTATTCAGTTCAGGGCAGGTTTGCAAGGTAACACTTAAAGAACCAAAATGTATTTTCACAGTACTACATTTCAGAATGCGACATTTTATATGACAGGAAGACTTAGAATTAGCAAGGAGTTCATCTGTTCTTTCTGCTAACTCTCCATCTGAAGTCATAACCTTGCATATCAAACCTGATTTCAGTTTGGAAGTGGTTATATTGCAACAGACTTTTGCAATCTATTAGTTACATAGGTAATGTTCATCACATGGCATCTGAGACTTTAAGTGAAAAATAAACAGCAGG